TGGTCATGAGACAAGGGAGCATTCTTGTTACAACTGGATGCTAAATCTCATAGTTCATGTGATAACAAAAAACCAAATAAACAACATATGAAAGAGTAAAACTCCCAAGCAGATCAGTGATATGAGGATGCGTCCTGGATTCATACAAACAACATCAGGAGTAAGAGATCTTTTGCCAGGATCCCAGGAGGAGGGAATACTTATAAGCAGAAAAATGAAGATCTTAGAGTTACTCAAGGATTGAGTGCTCACTTTAAGAACCAAGGAATGTTTACAGGATATCAACCTATCTGAGGAAGAGGAAAGGGTTCTGCAGTCATGGGCTCAACAGCATTTTGTGTGAGAACTTTAAATTAAACAACATCAATGGATATTCTCTTGGTTTTCTGGGAGAAATTATCCCTTCTATATTTAGCCAGAAAAAAAGAAGATAGCTTCAACAAATCTAAGAGGAACTAGATGTCAAAGAGAGCATGAAAGAGAGGTACATGCCTCTGGTACCAGAAGTTATTTCAGAGAAAATCTAATCCATACCATGCTCAACAAAAAGAATAGGTAAAGTGTGAGGTCCTACTTGAGGAAAGAGTCACAGTATACCAGATCAAGTGGGAAATGGATTCAGCATTTAAGGGATTGGGCTCCTTTCTGGTATTAATGAATGCAGACAATGCATTCTTAATCCTGTCAAGAGAAATTAATAAGATCAAGAAATGATGAATAAAACCACTCTTCATCCTGAAAATCTTACCCTAAGGGATCTTCATCTTACTGACCTCAAGGGAAAAGCACTGTCTAAAATATATGGCTCACCATGGATGTGACGTTCAAGAATGCCAATCTTTATTGATATCAAAGACTACAGACCAAGAGAAATTGAGAGCAATGAGAAACTTGAGACTGGTAATAGTTGAACCTATCATGTGACTCTTTTTCTCAAATATTAACAAGCAGATTAGTAAAAGTTTGTCTAATTAAATATGAGACAAAGTAGCTTCATTGATGCCCCAGGCTTCTCAGAAAACTTGATGATACTACAACTCATCAAAAAAACAAAGAAAGAGCATAAATCTCTGGGAGGTTTTTTTTTTGTCAATATTTCTAAAGCATTTACTTTTGTGTCCCTTGATCATATCTTATGGATCTTAAGAAAGAAGATGTTAGATGAACAAATTATAAACATCATAAAAGTCTCTTACAGTAATATTATCATTCAGTTAGACATCGATAAGGAACTATCATCCCATAAATGTATCACTGTTAGAGTCAAGCAGGATGAACCAATGTTGCCTTTCTTATTTAATATAGCAGGAGTCACCCAACTAGAATCAAGAGGAAATGGTTAGACCTATAATAACAACAAATTAACAACAATGGCTTTTGCTAACAATATCGTCCTGTTAAGTGATACTTGGAAAGGGATAGCTGAGGATATTAAAATGGTTGAAGCCTTCTGTCAGCTGTCAAGCCTGCCGGTGCAGGTAAAGAAGATACAAGGGTTTTTTATCTGTCCTACTCATGACTCTTATGTTGTGAATAACTGCAAACCATGGATGATTGGATTAGATCTGAATATGATATCACCTGGAGAAACTGGAAAATATCTTGGTCTTACAATAGATGCTTGGACTGGTACCCATCAAGCAGAATCTGTGAACAAGCTTGATCATTAGCTTTTTAAGTTTGGTAAAGCTCCTCTGAAACCGACATGAAAGCTAGAGCTATTGAATGTATATGGCTTACCAATAATAATTTATCAGGACAACCATTCTGGGTTAAGGAGTATCATCCTTTCTGCAATAGATGCAATAGTTAAATCCTGGCTCCACTTTCCTGCATGCATGTGTGATAGCTTATTATATTTTAGCCCCAGAGATGATGGACTGGAACTATGAAAATAGAGTAGCTTTATTCTATCCATCCAGGTGAAGTGACTGCAAAGGCTTGCCAACTGGTCATATCCTTTAATTCACCAAACAGCACTGGCCAACAGCATAAGCAAAGGGTTGGCTGCTGGCAGGAAAGAGAAAGGAATACCAAGTGTGTCTGCCCCAGTTTCATTATGATTACATCCTCTGTGCAAGGTAATGATCTGGGCCCACTGAGTTAGAGACACCTACACCTATAGTGAAGTATTGAATTCTGAGAGCGCACATATGAATAGTTCAATCAATAGACTAAATTTCCATTCCAAGGCTGTGGCACTGGGCATTTCAGAAATAATCCTATATGTAGTGACTTGTGAATAAACTATGAGGGCATCCAGGAGAAGCATCTACTAGGTGCCATAAGATTATAAGCCATTGTCTATGCCACTAAGGAGTTTCTGGGTCATAGCCCTGGTTGTCACCTGCAGGCCCCAGCTTGAAAACCTAAGACACATCATTAATGACCTCCAACCCTTCCTGGAAAAGGAAAACTGTTTCAAGGTAGCTTTTGGGGACAAACTGTCCTAGCTTACAGACAGCCCCCCAGACTCAAACAGTGTCTCTCAAACTAACGAACTCCCATCTTCACTGAGCCACCAGGCCTTGCAGTAGACCCAAATGCCTACTGTGTCCCCCCCCCTTCATCAATAAATCATCACTAGACCTAAAAACAAGAAGTACATCATCTAAGGTTCATTCACCTTCAGCTCTACCAATGTCATATACACTATCATCTTCTTACCATGTCCCTCTGCTGTCACCATTGGACAGAGGGTGATCTCTACATGTACGAATGAAAGAACACTGATCTGATGTCAGCTGTACAGTGACACAAAAGCCTATGGCAAAATGCTTCAACTTCCCTGGACATTTCATTGCTGGCCTCAGGATTGCTGGTCTCAAGCAAAAAAAAAAATTAAAAAGTAGTTTAAACAGACCACTGAGGAACAAGAAATCATATACAATCTGGACTGTGTGAGGTATGGTGTAAATAGGGACTACAGATTCTTATCTCATTTCCTGGATTAACTTTTGTGACCCACTTTGTTTCTATGGGTTAATCACTTGTTTGCTTTTCTCTCCTAACACTGCCCGCCACCATCTCTCTCTCTCCCCACTCACACATTGTCTTTTGTATTCTAATTTCTCTCCTTCTAGTCTGCTTTCTGCACCTCCTTGCACTGTATCCAATGAAGTATTTTTATTTATATATAAATATAATTTATATATAAATAATATATATTATATATATATATATATATATAATTTTGTTATTCTATAAAGGTGCATATCTACCCTGCCTTCTGACTGACTAAAGAGTAACATGGCTAACTATCTCTCCTCCCGCAAAACTGTAGGTACTGCAGGGTGGAAAGGGACAAGTGCTCCTATATTGTGGGCATTTATCCAGTTAGACATCCATTCCAAGATAAAAAGATGCCAAGATAAAAAGACATAATAAACTCTGCAAATTGGTAGCATATACAGCAAAAGAGCACAGCTGAGAAGTCTACAAAGAACCCCATCTCAGGGACAGAGATAACAAGATGAAAAAGCCTGACCTGTTTTTTGTGAGGGAGAAGGATGCCATCATGCTAAATATGACAGTTCACTTTGAGAGTAAATCAGGCACCTTGTCAGAAGCAGCTTTGAAGAAGGTATCAAAATACCAGGACCTTACTATACAAGGACAGCAATCGACTGGCACAGACAATGTTACATATTTTGGCCTCCCACTCAGTACAACTGGCAAACAGCCTGAGGAGAATGATGGACTCTTGGGTGCCTTGACCATCACTGGCTCCAATCAGAGAAAGTTTGCTTAGTAGGAGAGTCCTACAGGAGTCAATTGATATGCTTAACATCTTTTCAAGATCAGGCAAAACCATCACTGTCCTTGGAACACAGAAAGCCTAGACTATTCCATCGAGACCCCATTTAGTTTAAGAATAATTTGTGGGAATTATATTTACATGATGACATCACCAGACTTGACCACCTTTGTTTGGACAGGCCACCAGGGGCTATCCCCAAATAACCCACAATAGGTACCCACAGAACTCGGTTCAAATTTATCCAAGTGCCTCATCATCTAATTAATGATGAGTATGAATGGAAGAATGAGATTCCTACTGTCCCTACCTACAATAGAACAAAAACACAGCCAAGGGAATGGCCTTGGCAGAATCACTGGGGAAAGAAGATGCTGCTGAGCTTGACTCCAGTCTGGCACTGTATAGAGACATGAGTGGTGTAGAGTAAGTGGGAGGTCCTGAGGCTGCTACTGTAATACCACTATCCTTTTGTTCTTTTTCACTTACTCAGTGAGACAGGGGGCAAGGCCCAAGGGGCTTCTGTTTTTGACTCCAAGGCACCTATGCATGAGCACAGAAGCTGCTCTGACATGCTGAAATTCCAGTACATTGTAACAGATTCAATTAATTGAGCCTGCTGGAGCCTGGCAGTTGCTGTACTCCAGCAACCTCCTGCATCTCATATATCAAAATCCCCATGCTTAAAAATGGCAGCAGGGGCATTTGAACTAAAGCTCATCAAACAACCTTTAGTTCAAGCCCCCCCGCCACCATTTTTAAGAGCAGGGTTGATGCTAATGCAGGAGACGTGGTGATTTAATTAGATCGGCTCTTGGAGCCTCTCTAATTAAAGTGCTGCCCACCCACCCCCATGCCCCCCACAGCCCTGAGAACACATATAAAAGTGCCCCAAGTGCCAAGCATGGGCAGGGTGCAACCTATTCTGGAGACTGTGTCAGATGGGGAGTCTGACTGAGGAGGTACATCTGTCAAACTATACACCAGGTGTCTTAAGGTGAGCTTCAGGGAGGACAGAAACCTCCCATGGGGCAGAAAGGCAAAAAGGTTGCTGGATCTTGATTTTTCAGTATGAGTACAGACCACGAAAGCAGGGCCTCATGATCCTTCTGATTTTGAGGGTTTTAAGCATGTGTCAGAAAAGTTACCACAGGGATAACTGGCTTGTGGTAGCCAAGTATTCATAGCAGTGTCACTTTTGATCCTTCACTGTCACCTTTTCCTGTCATTGAAAAACAGAATTCACCAAGTATTGGATTGATTGCCCTCCCATATGGAACATGATCTGAGTTTAGTTCATCATGAGAAAGGTTAGTTTTACCCAACTGATGATGTGTTTTGCAATAATTATCCTGCTCAGTACAAGAGGAACCACAGGTTCAGACATTTGGGCTAAGGACAGACATTCAAAAAGCCTGAGCCTGAATTGATTCAAACGTTGCAGGTTAATCTAACCTGGCTAGCTGGAATCAGTTTGTAACCACACAGACATCCCAGAGATGCAGGCACATACCTGCAATGGCTCAGGCTAGAAGTGGAAGAGGGCAGGGGGAAGCACTAGAATAGCCCTTCCTTCCCTTCCATAGTGCTGAGCTGAGGGGGGCATGGCTAAGCCTGGGCAGGACACTCCATACCCTCCTGAGCAGCTCAGCAGGCAGTTGATAACACAGTGTTTGTCACCCCTAACTTGGTGTTTATCAGCTCATTAACAAAACAAAGAAAACAAAAGCTTCTCAACTACCTGTTGATTAGCTCCAAAAAGCCCTAAGTTGACACAGTCCTGTCTGCCTTTGTCCTGTCTGCCACAGCACCGACCGTAGCCAGCATATGGTCTGCTAACTAATGCTGAGCGGTATCTGTGTACGGCAGAGGGGAGCGGGGAATCCCTGCTTAGCAGGGAGTGGTGAGGGAAGTGGGGTGTGGGCAGGGAGAGCAGGGGGAAGCCCAGCAGATGCCTACTGTCTGCTGGAGCTACAGCCAAGGAGTACAGGGGAGGGGACAGCTCTGTTGTGGAACAGAGAGCCCTGCCCAACCCAGAGAGCATGCCAGGATGCTGGGGGAGTCTGGTTTAACTTAAACCAGGAAGAGGTCTGGGACAGACACTGCATAAACCAGTTTAAGCCAAATCAGTTAAGTGTGATAACCATGTCTGACAACCAGGTTTGTCTCAAACCAGTTTCATCCATTTTTACACTGGTATATGTGCACTGAACATCTGTTCTGCTACAGATTTAAACCAGTTTCTGATCACTTAGATTGGTTTATGTGTAATGTCTGTCCCTAGCCTTGATATATGTACTTGGCTGAGCTAATAGAGCAAAGCTACAACTTGTGGGATTATGACTGAACACCTTATAACTGAACAACTCTAAATCAAAATCCCCCCCAAACATAACGCTATTGCAATGCTCTGGAGCCTCAGTTTGCCTCAGATAGCCAGCTGGGTCAAGGTTTTGTATGTAGCAGAGCAGCTACCTTGCTGTGATCTAATGAAAGTCAGTCCTTGACTCAAGCTTTTGTCTTGGATCCCATATCACCACCTCTCCCCAGCTAGGGTCACCATCCATACCTACCCTACCCAGGAGTGGGCAGAAGCCCGAGGAGGGAGGCAGGGTAGCAGGGAGGTGGCTGGGGCAACCCTCATGTGGGTAAGGTGCAGCCATTCTCCTTCCAAAAATAGACATATATATTTAAAAAAACAGGTATTAGTCTGGAACGGAACCTGGGTGGAGGAAAATTATTGACTTGACCTGATGATCTTCCAAGGTCCCTTCCAAACTTACAATCTATGAAGAGGTTGCTAGTTTATACAGTTGAACTGTGTATTCATTCTGGTACTCCTACTTAATGGAAACATTTAGGGTTTGTTCAACTTTCTAGGGACAAGATGAAATAACCTACAATCCTCTTTGTCAATCTCACTGTCCTCTGCTGTAATGAGACTCAGATCGACATCTGAATAAATTAATTTGCCCCTGACCTGCAAATCACCTTTCAGACTAGAGAATCACAATTGGTATTTCAGAGAGAAAAAAAGTCAACAGCAAAGTCTTTGCCAGTTTCAACATTAATTTACCTAATGCACATTGCAGACTCATCATTTTATTAAGACTGCCATCAGTTCCAAATACATGTCTGGAAGAAGGGGCTGCAGTGAGAAATAGAGAGAAGACAAAATGCGAAGGCAATGTGTCAAACTGAAGCCTTAATCTGTCCCTGGGCAGTTATTAATTACTGCCGAGATGCATTTTAAAATTAAAGACTGGGTGAAATACAAATGATTTTTGGAACATTTTTTTTTGGGGGGGGGTGGGTTTGCTATTAATCTTTGTGTTACAGATGCACAGAAATCTTAAAGAAGCCAAGACACAACACAAGGGATAAAGGTCCTGTGATCAGACAGGCTCATGACACCTCTTGAAGCACAATTGCCACAATACTGCTGGAGCAACATTGCTGTGGCTGAGGTGAGACTGGGCTTGTTAAGAAATAAGTCAAAAATCTTTCACTGGGACTTTTGTCCAAGTCTTTCTATTAGAGCTCCTGTTCCAATGAAAAGTTTGTAAACAAATGTACAAACTAACAAAAAAACATGAATTTCACCCCAGGCTTCAAGTAGCATTGTAGACTTATGGCCTCCCTTCCCCTGCAGAAAGGAAGAGGGGCATTTCTCTAGCCTGATTATTAATAGTACCATAATGCCAAGAGGTGCTAACAGAGATCAGCACAGCACTATTTTTTGCACAAATCCCTGAGGAAAAGAAGTGCCTATTCTAAGTGCTTGCAGTCTAATAGACAAGAAAGGAAAAGGGTATTGGGGGAGAAGTGATTTACCCAAGGCCACCTTTCAGGTCAGTAGCAGAGTTAGCTCCATACCCCAGGTCACTGAAGTCCCAACCCTTGTACATGCCCTCCCAGTCTCCTGCCCCTCCACCTCTGTTTTATATTCTCCTCCAAAAAGCACTAGAGACAGGCACACAGTTCCATGCAATCCTCTTTTCCAGGATGCCACAAGTGGCACAGGCAGCCTCTATGTGTGGCAAGCATCAGCTCAGGGAGGGGATAGGCAGCAGAGCAGCAGATAGGGCAGGAAGCAGAAAGCAACGCAGCAAATTGGAAAGGGAGCACAGGGCTGGGAGCAGAAAGCAGAGCAGCAAATAGGCAGCGGAAGCGATCAGATGGCACTTGGGGTGGGTACAGAGCTAATTCTTGGCACATGTGCCAAACAGGTTAGTCCCCACTGCTCTAGTTCATGTTCCCCACAGCCCCTGATGCACTTCTTCAAACTCCCCTGCCCCCCAACCCCAGGTTCCTTCCTACCCCTGAGCAGCTTCCCTGATCTACTTCTCAACTTCCTGGCTAGGGACAGACATTCAAAAAGTCTGAGCCTGAATGTATTCAATCTTTGCAGGTTAGTCTAACCTGACTTAATTTAATCAGTTTGCACCTGCATAGACATTCCCTCTGGACTGAAGAAATGCAGGCACATGCCTGCAGTGGCTCAGGTTAGAAGCTGGGGGCAGGGGGACTAGAGGAGCCCTCCTTTCCTTTCCCAAGTGCTGAGCTGAGGTGGGGTCTAACCAGGACCCAGCAGGACACTGTGATTAAGGAGGGGTTTAAACCCCACCCTGCCAGCACTGTACCAGGCTTTTCCTTGCTCGTTGCTCAAGGGGCAGGAGTATTGCCAGCCCCTAGCCTCCAGCTAGCACTCTGAGGCAAAAAGTGGGGGTAAGGGGGTGCAGTGCATGCTTCTGTTGATGATACAATCTCCCTCTCCCTGCTTCTTCATACTGTCTGCAAACCTAACGGGTGAGGGAGCCAGCAAGGGGCTGATAACACAAGGTTTATCAGGCCATCAGCAAAACAAAAGCCTCTCTCATTAGTTCAATCTCTTCTTAAACAGCTTTTTCCAAGGAAGGAATGGAGAGACATTACCAGCTGACCTGTTGATTAGCTCCAAAAAGTCCTAAGTGGACACTATCCTGTTTGCCTTTGTCCTGTCTGCTTTTGTCCTGTCCCAGTGAAATTGGACACGCACACCTCTCAGCATTAGCTATTATACCACACACCTAGGGTCGGTGGGGCTGGGGTCTGTGCTGTGGGAGATGGGAGCGAAGGAGGGAAGGAACCCTGCTTGAGCACCAAGCGGGGTGGGGGGGAGGGCAGGCGGAAGCCAGGCAGACCCTACTGTGCCTGCAGTCTCTGCTGGAGGTCTCTGCCGGAGCTCTGGCTAGAAAGCAGGGAGGCCAGGCCAGGCCTGTTCTCTGGAGAAAACAGCACAGCCCAGCAAAGCATTTGGGATGCTGGGGGAGTCTGGTTTAACTTAAACCAGGAAGGCATATGGGACAGACATTGCATAAACCAGTTTGACCCAAATTAGTTAAGTTTGATACTACATTCAACGAGGTTTATCTTAAACCAGTTTCAGCCATTTTGAAATTGGTTTATGTGTACTGAACTTCTGTTCTGTTACAGGTTTAAACCAGTTTCTGATCACATAAACCAGTTTATGTGTAATGTCTGTCCCTAGCCCCCATATACTCAGGCTTAAAATGGGATTTCAGCATTTACTCTGAAGCAGCTCCTGTTGTTCCATCCTACCTGTCTGCATAGCTGTCTGTTTTCTCACAGGCACATGCTTTCCCTTGTGGTTAGCAGCCTAAACACACTGCCCTTTGTAAGGCACGTCCAATTACACCATAAGTCTAAGGTATTTCATGACTTAGTGAAGAAGGCATTACTGGCCCTGCATGCAAATACTACTTTTGTCACGGTGGGAAAGTGTAAAATGCAAAATTATGCACAAACCTTTCAAAGAATTAATTGAGAGCAAGAGACTTATTTGTGTGTGAGGGTGTTTGTCTCTGTGCATAGTGGTCCTGATCTTGTTGCCTTCTTTCTATTTAAGCAAACAGAAGCAAAGCAACGGAAAGCAAAATGAACAGCATTTAAAGGTTCTGATTAACCTGTTGAAGATTAAAATGATGGGGAAAAAAAACAACCTGATGTTACAGATCAATGCATTTCACAGCCAGGATAAAGGCCACATAAATACTGGTAAAAACAAATTTCGATGGTTTCAAACACATAACAATTTTGGCCCAAGCAGCACTTCCTGCAGCAAAACCCAATGGAGAGACCAACTTGTATAGTCTTGCCAAGCATTCTGTCCAGAGAAGTGAAGTTTGCTCATTTTCAGGATGAACTATAGATCCACACACAGCTTCCCTACTAAGAGACTGAGAGCACTGTCTTTGAATCTCCAGTGATATTTACCATCCTCTCCATACTCCCTAGTAGCTAGACACCAGGGACACTCTCCATCCCAACCACAGCAACCCACAAAATCCCCTTGAAAAGGGAAAGGCCCCGCCATGAAGGGGTCTCAGTAGGAAAGGTAATGCAATACCAGGATACAACGTTCATTCTGCTGAAAATTCATTTCAGAAAATATGTGCCATATTTTATCACTCAGTTGTTATATGATGTGTTTCAAGATTTAAGGAAGCTTTCAAGATAGTTGAAAGTGAGAATGCATTGGGAACAGGTTGCGGTGATAAAGAATAGGCAGTTTGTATAATACCAATTGCAAATGTAATTGTGCATTTCTAGATTTTGTAATCTTTGGGATCTAAGAATGTTATGAATCCCCTCTTCAAAAAGTACATGACAGAAAGGGCCAAAAAGATTTGGCTTGATATTGGCTGAAGGAAGTGCAGGCTGAATAGATTTTTATTTAATCTTTTAATTAAGTTATTCACGTAAGGACATAATAAATGCTTATGGTATCAAATGTTTCATCTATATGCTTGAAAACAGTTCTCTGTACCTTTTTAAGTCCTTCATTAATCTTCCCAACTCAGAAAATATCCACAAACACTAAAAGCATCTTTCTGTAGCAAAGTTAATGCAATTCAAAATCCATAGAGGAAACTAACAGGCATGTGAGAAAAGCCATTGGAGGACTTTCAGTATTGGAAACTTTCTGAATCACCCTCCCAAGCCCCATCTCTACAAAATAACATATCTAGGTTGAACTAAACTTCCCCTGGGTGAGAACTGCCATGTGCCACTTTAGATGGATTGTTCTACTAGTGATGAAATCACAAAAAGTGTGTTTCAAAAATCTGACTTATAGCAATGGGAAGCTTACTACAGTCTTAACCATGGAGGAACAATCAGTCTCTCAGCAATGCTGGCCAAAGCTTAAGTTGTGTGACAAAAAATTAACAGTTCTTTAGCTCCCTGGATGATAATCATCACTCAGACTAACAGCTGCATTCCCTACAATTTTTATTTTCACCATAATTGTATAGGGCGAACACTGCAGCAACATTTTTCAGCTGACTTGGTCTTCATAAATATTTTGATATTTTGGAAATTATATACTTCTTCATATACCCAGAAGACATTAAGGAGAAGGAAAATCAACAGCTTGATAGGATTATTATTTTCTGTGTTGCCCTTTAGTGTACCATTAAAATAATGTCCCTGGTAGAAAACGCATTGTGCATGTTCTGAAACAATTCAATTTAATCTAAACCCTCCCTGAAAGGCATGATGGTGGAAAAGTGTTTAATACTAAAAATAAGTTAAACTCAGTTTTACAAAGTTCATGTGAAAATTGACCAGCCCAGGCAGAAAGCAAACACTAACCAACACTTTACACCATGATGATGATAATAAAAAATGATATTTTATTCATCTTCAGGAAAAAACCCCTACCCCTGTGTAGTGAATGGGTAAATTATGCCAGTCCATAGAAGTGTAGCAAACAGTATTGAAAGTGTAAGGTTTAACAAGTCTTAGAGATGGTAAACAGTTTAATGATTGACTTGACTGTTTATCTGCTTTTTAACCAAATAGGGGAAACAAATGCATTACAAATAAGAGGAAGATCTCTATAAATATAGTGAAGAGGACAGAAACAATGACTGTATCTCAAAATGAATTTCTGAGACAGGAGAAAAAGAGTGACTTACCTCAATGACAGGTTGGAAACAGGCAATAATGATACATCTACATCCTTCCTTTTCAGGGTAAATAATTTGAGTTCTTTCAATAGAAATCTAAAAGGAAATACAAAAGACAATTGCAAATGACTGCTTTCCCTGCACTGTCTGTATAAAGTAGCAATATGCTTCTAAACATATCCTGCTAAAAAGAAATAAGCTGTTAAACAACAACTCAAACATATAATTATTTTAATAAAGGAGCAAAAGAAGTTTGTCATCCTTAAAATCCCCTGTAGAACTTACAAAAGTTTAAGTGGATGAAATCATATAGTATATAAACAGCACAGGACCAGATTGATTCTTGGTGTCACACGACTGTTCTCAGCAAAATAACATTGATTTGGCCCATTTGTCTCCAAGATGAACATGACCAATTAATCTTGCAGAAAACTCACTCCAAACCACTGAAGCGCAAAAATTTCCACTAAGAAGTTAGCCTCCTATTGGCTCAAATGATACAACCTTGCTGACTTGCCTTCCCCTTGCAAACTCCAGGACTTGCTAAAGCAACACTTGAATGTTAAATGCTTCGGTCAGGAGTTCAGCTACTGACCTGCAATGAAAGCCTTGTGTTCAGCTCCAACGTTTCCTGACAGCAAACAATTTACAAAAAAAAAATAAAATGGCTTCATGGAATGAACTGTTAAAAAAGAAAATCCTCTCATAAGCTTTCCCTGAGGGGAAAAAAAGAATCCACAAGCTTTAAATTGGCCAGGCAGATTTAAGAGGAAGCAAAAAAAAAAAAAAAAAAAGCTCTCTGTTGCGTCAAAGAGCCCAGTGTGCAATAGGAACACTGAACTGAGTTGTTAAACTGGCAAGCCCTGGCTGAAGACAGCTTTTCAATATGCTCTCAGCATCCTCTCCTAGGGCTGGCTGGATGCAGTCCCACTCCTCTTACAGTGGCTCTATGACTTCAAGAGGCAATCTCTCTGAAGGAGTTTCTAGATGCATGCCATTCAACTGGATTTGCCATACAGTATGAGGGTAGTTATGTGCACAAACAGGCTCGTAGGAGGGTAAGCATGTATGAAGGTAGTTACACACATCCAAGCGTGAATTCATGTATAAGTGTATGGAGAGAGGAAATGCAGGCATACTCCAACTGGTGATCAGGTCACTGATTGCCTGAAGTTGAAGAGAGCATGCTACTGATAATTAACTGCATGGAGAAATACCTAACCCACCCTACAATGGACTCTTAGAAAATAGTGTAAGATTTCACTGTATTTAGCAGAAGCTTCTCCTGCGTGATGAGAGGTTTTATAGGCCATGGTCCCTAAAATCAATGTCCAGTACTTGTTGGCTGCAGAGAACTGGCTGGTCATATGATTCAGGCTGATTTTGTTTCTATTATAAATGTAAACTCTGAAGCTTGTAGATCCCTTGAAAATTAGATGTGAGTTGAAATGCTTTTACTGAGGGTCACTGCTGATTAAGAGAACGAGTCATCCTTATGGATCAGAGTGAACATGCAAGTGAGAAGAGCATAGCTTGGGTGGGTAGCAAGCTCAGGGAAAAGGAAAACAAGTGAGAAGGCAGCATGTATAGTGCAGAGAAGAGAATCAGGCCACATGGAAACACCTGCAGGGGAAGCAGAAGAGGAGGAGGACCAGAAGGATGAGAGAAACAAAACAAAATGTGAAAGCAGGAAGTGGGATTAACCTCTCAGAGCATGGATCAGACTAAAGGCAGTGACCAAGACACAGCAAGTTCTTCCTGATTGTTGATTTCTTTTTCTGCATCCTCTCTAGTTGCCACAGGGATAACACGATCTTGAAAGTGAGAGAAGGCGATCACAAACTGCAGGAGAGGTGTCCAGGACACAGTCTCTGTTCCAAAGGGAATCTATATTATGAAAGAGACCTTGACAAAGGCACAATTCCTTCTTTGGCTGCTTACCCTCAAATCCTTTAATCTTGAAGTGCAGCTCTACTCTGAAAAAGGATTTTAAAAATGGCCTGGGGGAGGGTTTCTCCTCATTGTGCCTCAGTTTACAAGCAGAGCTGGTTTGTCTAAGTGCCAGCCCTGCAAAGTCAGTCTGGGTTCTTGGAGTTCTCTCCCCTTTGAGCATGTCTACATGTGAATTTAACCACACCTAAATTTAATGCACATTAGCTTAATATGCATTAAGGGGGTTTAGGCAGGCATCTACACATGCAAGTATGTGTAGTGCAGGTATCAAATTTAAGCACAAATACCCTAAATTCACCATTTTAATGTGAATTAAGGGTGCACACATGTAGATGCGTGCCTTTAGTGTGCATTAACTTAAGCTAATGTGCATTAAAGTATCGTGTGTAGAAGCGCCCTTTATGTCTCAAGGAACAATCCATATTCAGCAGCTTTCATTATGCCATCTGTCACACTTGGTCCAGCTCACTGTGTTTGGGTAATTAGCAGAATTGTAGCTGGGCAGTTCTGCACCTGGGGCAGCAGCAGTGCATGGGACAGCTATGGTGGCTTAGTGGCCACTGCCACCAGTGGTGCCAGGCCATCAGCAGCAGCAACGGCAATTTTTGTGCAGGTAACTCATTTCTGTCAATGGAGTTGCAGCAGTGGAACTGCAGAGAGAATGCAATTAACAGTTCAGTCATTTATGGGTGCAAAAGGGTCAGAATCCAGCAGACTTGACTGCAGCCGCACAAGGCAAAGAGAACTAACAAACAATTCAACCCTTATCATAGAAAGTGCAGCAGTGATGCCATTCATAGGACTGGCCACATCTTCCCATTAAAAATAAATGTTTTCATTCACTTCTCACTTTGGCATACTTCAGCCTGACTGACTAAAATGTTTTGTGCTTGCTCTCTACCTGAGGCTGGACTTTTCTAAATTTAGGCCCATAAAGGGTAACTCATTTCAGCATGGGGTCAATGAATAGTGTGTACTTTGCGTTATGTAAAAAAAAAAAAAAATCAGCCTGGATTTTTGATCAGCTCTAGTGCGCAGAGATCTGGAATTTGGGATATGAAGTATAGGGCTGTCTCTACGGCCAGAGAAATACCTTGAATTCTCCCTTGTACACTCTATTCAGCTTTGACCAATTTATACACTATGGAAAATCTCCATTTGCATATGCATCCTAGCCCACTACACTGCTAATAAGTATTT